GTAGCCCAGGCTGGTCTCAAACTCGCAACAATCCTCCTGCCTCAGCCTCCCGAGTGTTGGGATTACAGGTGTACACACCCCCACTCCCGGTGTAATTCTGATTTTGAAAAGAATTAAAGTATAATTGGCTGGGAGGGCTGAGGCAGGAGGATTGTTGTGAGTTCAAGACCAACCTACACTACATAGTGAGATCCTGTCTCAAAAAAAAAAAAAAAAGGAAAGTGTAGTTGAACAAATTACTGTGTAATTGATATATGCTAAACTACACCCAGCTACTATTAGTTACCTTTTTAAAGAGATTACTATGAGGGCAGGACTTCTGTCTTCCCAGTGTTCTTTACTCTGTGTAGATCCAACTCTCTGTGTAGTGTCAGTCTCTCTCCATCTGAGAACATCTGTTAACACTTATTGTACTGCATATCTGCTGGGACAAATTAGTTCAGCTTTTGTTTATCTGAAAATGTTTTTATTTCATCTTATTTTGAAATATATTTTCCCTGGGTTCAGAATTCACAGGGTTTTGTTTTTCTTGCTTTCTTTTTTTCCTCTTCTTTCTGTAGTTTAAAGAAGTAATTCTGTTGTCTTCAGTTTGAATTATTTCTTTTGTTTGTTTGTTTGTTTTTCTAGTACCAGGGATCGAACTCACAATGTTGCACTTGCCAGGCAGGCGCTGTGCCGCTGAGCTAAATCCCCAGCCTCTGGTTTGAATTATTTCTGATGAAGTCTTGTGTGATTTTCCGTATGGATAATGTGTTGTTTTTATCCTTTTTGATTGCTTTTAAGATTTTTCTCCTTATCGCGGAGTTAGAACAATTTGATTATGATTTGTGTGTACTGATCTTTAGCATTTTAATTACGTTGTATTTTCTTTATTGATCCTGACTGAGGTTTGTTTATCATCAAACCTGGAAAATACTTGGCCATTGTTTGTTCCAGTGTTTTCCTGCAGCCACCACCTGGAGAGCTGCAGTTGCATAGACATTAGATTCTTGGGTATTGTCCCACAGATCACTGAGATTCTTTGCTTTCCCAGCCTTTTTTCTTTTTGATGTGTGACTTTTAGTGGGATACTTTTCTGTTGACCTATTTTGGAGGTCTCTGATGTTGTGCTCTGGGTTACGTAATCCACTGATAGACAACTCGTCCGATGATTGTCTGTTCAGACCTTACCTTCTCAGTGCTCTCGAAGCCTCATTTGGTTCTCTCCCTCTGCGTCCTCCCCATCGCTCCCTCTCCTCTCTGCACACGTTTTTCTTACTTTATATATTTATGTTTTCCTTTAAGTTAGATTCGCAAATTTTCTGTAACGGGCCAACTAGTAAATATTTTAGGTCTTATAGGCCGTAGAGTCTCTGTCACAGGCCGTATGTTATTATTGTACCTCAAACACAGCCAGTTAGTGTGTACATAGATGAATAGCGCTGTATTCTTGGAACTTTATTTGTAAAGCGGATGGTAGACTGGTAGTGAGCCTGATCCCAAGTCTGCTGACTCCTGCTTCAAATCCTTAAACATATTTATAATCACTTTTAATGTCCTTGTCTGCCAGTTCCATTTTCTCTGACATATCTCGGTCTGTTTCTGTTGCTTAATTTCTTCTAGTTATAAGTCTGACTTATATGTTTATGTGTTTTATATGGCTAGGGATTTTTTATTGAATGCTAGACATATAACAAATTATTGACTGTACAGATTTTTTTCCTTCCTTTATATAGCACTGATTTTTGTTTCATGGACAGGTAGGTTTCCTGCGGGTTGAGCTTGATCTGTGTCAGGCTTGTTTCAACCCTGTGGAAGCCTGTGAGAAGTAGCTTTCAGGCTAGGGCTGGTTTGGCCTACTAGGAGTCATGGCCTTTCGGGGTTCTTCCCTGAAGGCTGAGTCTCTCCGCTCTGGCTGCTCGAGCACAAGTGTTTCCTAGTCCTGTAGTCACTATAAGAATTATTTTGCTATAGACCCCCAGTAACTGTTCTTCTCCCACTTGTTCTTCTCTGGGGCACACCCTCCTGGAGTTGGGAGCTTTGTGGAGTTCCACCTGAGCATGCAGAGCAGCTTTTTATGCCTGTGTCTTGCGTGGCACCTGGGATGATTTCTACAGTTCTTCCTCTGTGTAGCTCCCTGTGTAGTGTTCTGTCTCACCAGTCCGCGCGCGGCTCAGCCTCTGTGAAGGCGGATCTCCTTCTAAAGTCAGGAAGCCCCTTGCGCTTTGTTTGCTTGGGCTGTTCCTCTTCGGAATACAGATTGTTTTTCTCAGGTATTCAGAAAACTGGGATCATCCTAAGGTCTCCACATTTATATTTCTTCCCTTGATAATTAAATGCCTTGTGCTGCCTTTGGTACCCGTCTGAAAAGAATTTTCACATAGTTGGTTCAGTTTGCTGCTTGCTGAAGTAGTGAGAGTCTGCTGTCAGCTACTTCCTGGTCTGAAGTGGAAACCCCTCAGTGACCGGACGGGATCCCTAACCTTGCTCCCCCGAGTGTGGGAATCTGCTGCTCAGTCCCCGTGTTAATTTTGTATTTGGTGGTGGCTGTATCCAGTTAACCTTCCCCGCTTGTACTGTAGCTGCATGACTGAGTTGTTAGTGTTCATTTTGTCACCCGTCTGCCTCTGAAGCTGAGTAATCATGACTTGATAGTGTGACTGTGGAAAGTGTGTATTACTTTCATCGAATGAACGGATAATCTTCAGGGAAAACACTCAAATTGTTGAAAATGTCCCTTTTTAGAATCAGTAAAAATTAAAACTTAGTAAATGTTTTATTTTATTGGGTAATTTATTTAATCTGTAGGTATACATTTTTTAAATCTATATTTTTTGGAGTACAGAGGTAGTTTTCTCTTCATATATATTCTAGAAAAATCTCTGTCTTTGTGTCTCTCTGTCTCTCCCTCTCTCTCTCTCTCTCTCTCTCTCTCTGTGTGTGTGTGTGCTGGAGGTCAAGCTCAGAGCCTTGAAGCATGCTAGCTTAATGTTCTGATACTGAGCTACCTCCCGGAACATTTTGGTTGGTTTTGTTTGTTCCAGTTCATTTTTAGAGTTCTACAATAGACTGTAGTTGTAGCAAAGGAGGACAGTTATGTGGGAACAGCATAGTCAAACTCTTTGTTTTTGTTTTTGTTTTTAACACTTGTATCGTATGCCACTATTGTGTTTTCTAATAGTAGAAATGTTTGTAAAGGTGGAAGTTACCTTAGGGGGGTTAATTGCTTCTGATATTAACCATAAAAATTTTTTGAATTAACTTCATTGGTACGTTTTAGATAATGATAAATTTTCTCTCACAGTCCGATTCTTCTGAATACCACAAACTGTAAAGGTTTGGTTTTTGTTTTCTTCTTGTTTTGTTTTGTTTTGAAATAGGATCACAAAAATAATCTCCCTAAATATTGATAACTCTTTTATGTACATAACAAAGAAACAAGCTGTAGATTTCGTGATTAATCATAACTTTTCAGAAACCTTAGTAATCAAAAGTGTGCTTTTAAAAATCTTCTTTAGGACTGGGCGTGGTGGCGCCTGCCTGTAATCCCAGCACTTGGGATGCTGAGGCAGGAGGATCGTTGGGAGTTCGAGACCAGCCTGGGCTACAAAGTGTGCTCAAGGCCAGTCTGAACTGTGTAGGGAGACCCTGTCTCAAAAAGACCAAAAAAAAAAAAAAAAAACTTCTGTAATTACTTTAAAACAGATTTTTTTGATCCAGAGAAAAGCTAATAATTAATTGATGTATTGCTAAATGTAAAACTTTATTTTTTAGATTTTATTTTAACCCATTTTTTAAATTTAGATTAGGGATAAACTTAGATTGGGATTCTAAATCTAAATTTAGATTGGGATAAATTTAGATTAGAGTTGTGAACATGGTTCTTTTCTATATTAGCATGATAAGAATTTTTCTGTCCTGGATAGCAAGTTCTTTCTATCCTGGATAGCAAGTTCTTTAATGCTCATTTTTATCATTACACCTTACAGTCTTGGTCTTTGAACTACAAATTCTTTTAATGGATGATTTTAAAAGACTCATATACAGAGACTGCTTTTCTTTGGGTCTGACTCATTTATGAAAAGTCAGTACAGAAATCTTTAATAGAAACCTTCAGATTCAGAAATACTCACATGTACTCAAGCACATGTGTGTGTAATTCTGTATTTTCCTTCAGAGCAGCTAATGGCTAATACTGTACACTAGAGGGCGTCAGTCTTTCTTTGCTCCCCAGGAATTTATACTTTTAACCAACTCCTAGTTGACTCTTATATAGACATCTAACGTATTTAGGAACAGTTGTGCTTAAGACTTTATCTCAGTCACATATGTAATATTAATTAAATGATTCCTCTTCATTTGTAGGTTTTCATCAAAGCAACACAAAAGTTTCTTTAGAAAAATTTGGTTTAAACAATACTTCCTCAAACAGCACCTAAAAGGACAGAGACTTAGGAAGTTTTGATCACAGGGATAACCTTCTGACAAATAAATGTAGACAAATAGAATAAATCTCCAGTCAGAGCCTGCAGGAGTGGCCGCCAGAGGCTGGGACGAGCAGGGACAGTGGGAAGAGCTGCACTGTGGAGGAGCACAGGGAACTGCTGCAGTGTGGAAGTGCTCTGTAGTTTGGTTGTGGTTGTATGTCTTGTTTATGAAAGCTTATTGAAATGTAGACCTGAAAAGACTGACTTTTACAATATGTGAATTATATCTCAATAAATGCAGATTTTTTTTAAAAATCAAGCTAGGTACTGAGGATAAGTTGTAGTGCTAGCATGCACAAGACCCTGGGTTCAATCTCTAGAACCTCAAAAAAAAAGAAAAATCAAGCTAGGAAGTAATTCAAGACAGGATTTTATCAGATTACTAACTGCATGTTTAAAAATATATAGAACCTTATTATTTGAAAGCTGAACTTATCTTGTAATGTAGTAATTATTGTGGTGGTAACATGTATTGATAATTTATTCCTTTTTCATTACTACTGCTCATCAAAGTTTTTGTATATTTTTTTCTAGGGCCCACACATAGCTTCAGTTACATTAGCTGCATATGAATGCAACTCAGTGAATTTCCCTGAGCCACCCTATCCTGATCAGATTATTTGTCCAAATGAAGAGGGCACTGCAGGAACCATTTCCTTGTGGAGCATCATCTCGAAAGTTAGGATTGAGGCCTGCATGTGGGTAAGATGTGCATTTCCATATTTGTCTAAAACTAACCTCACTACCTTGATACTGTGTTGTACCTTTTAAAATGGAATTCAATCATACATTGAGTAAAGAATTCATGAAGTCACTAGCTACCTGTTTCCAAGGCAGGAGTTCTTTTAAAGTGTCTTCTGATTGTGAATGATACTCACAAGAAAGGCATGCAGGTAGTCATACCACGAAGCAACTATGCTAAGGAGGCAGCAGCAGGGAAAGGGAGTATAGATTGTAGAACTAAAGTACTTTGCTCTAGTGTTTATGTACCTGATACGTGCTAAGTAGTTAGTGTATAAATGCTAGATTGTTAAATGTTGTATGTCTCCCAGATTAAAATGCTGTGTTTGTTCATTTTGAGAGTTGTCATAATGCCACAGTAAAGTGAGCTGTGTCTTCATAGAAATTCAGCTTTAAGGCCAGGCATGGTGGCGCACACCTGTAATCCCAGCACTGAGGAGGCTGAGGCAGGAAGATCTTTGTGAGTTGGAGACCAGCCTGGGCTAGAAAGTGAGCTCAAGACCAGCCTGAACTGCATAGCGAGACCCTGTCTCAAAAAGACAAAAAAAAAAAATCAAGCTTTATAATAGTGTCAGTTTCAGACTATATAGTTGTACATCTTAGTTTCCGTTGCACTAGTTCTTTTTCTGTTTTGTTTATTTTAGGAACTATTTTTAGACAACATAAATGGCGGGTATATTTTAATCCGTACAAGTTGTTTCTTTCTGGTTTTGCCGTGTGCCTAAATTTATTCAGGTGTCTGTCATTAAGAAATAATTCATTTCAGTTATTCTTGGCTTCTTATACCTGTAATCCCAATACTCAGGAGGCAGAGGCAGGAGAATTATGTTTGAGGCTAGCATGAGCTACAAAGCAAGACACTGTCTCAGACACTCAAATAAAATTATAATAATTCATTTCATTTACTAAAGAATTCTTTACCATTTAAATTATTTTTTAATTCATAATTTGAGCTTACTTATATTCCTATAACTTTTTTTTACCCTACCAATTTCTTAGGAAATAAAAGAATGTGGAACAGGTCACTTAAAAATCTTAACTCATTAAAATAATGATGAGTGCCATGCCCTCAAAAAAAGGCAGAGTTTTAAAACACAGTTAAACGTTAGCAATTATGTTTGCTTTAAAAGAATCACAAAGGAAATGTTGAGTATGAAAGACAGGAAAAATTGTCATGGTTCCTGTTGTTCTTTTATAAACACTGGAAACAAATTCATTACACTAGTTGAATATGTTTTATAAATTTGATGACATTAGTCTTTTGATGAAAAATTATGGTTAGAATAACAGCAGATACTTGGAACATACATGAAAAGGGACTATGTATATAAATTTCACTTCTATGTTTTTGTTAGCATTATACTTTTGTGCTATCAAAAATTATTTATAAGGGTGGAATAAAACTAAAGCAAAAGGGAAAAACGACCATTCCCCCTACAGTGATAATTGCTTTCTTCAAATTCCATAATGTATTTTGTCAGTAGTGCTTATTTGGCCTGATTTCTTGCTTCTCTTAAATTTATCTGGCTTAGTGGCCTACTTTCCCAAATGAAATTTAGGCTCCTAAAAATATAAGACTGATATATCACCCTCACAGCAGTCAGCGTTAGACTTTACACATAATAGAGCAATGTCAATACATTCTGAATAATTAATCTAATGTTTGATCATTCTTATTGTTTCCTTCTTTGGAACTGTCTGTTATATAAGACTAGCACATAACAAGTTGGGTCTAAATTGGTTCTTAGCCAGGTGTGATGGCACATGCCTGAAATCCCAGCACTTGAGAGGCTGAGGCAGGAGGATCACTGTAATTTGAAGGCCAGCCTGAACTATATAAGTGAGACCCTGTCACACACACAAAAACAGTTCTTCTTGTTCTCAACATTTATAAGAACAGTCTGTTTAATAAATGCTTCTGGAAAAAACAAATACCAGTTTTCAGAATGAAGAATGAACATAAAGTCAACCTTAATTTCAACTTGTTCGTATGTAGGTTTTTTGGAGCATATAGCATGAATTAATATTTTTAATTCATAGGCTCTTTTTTCAGTTTGCATCTGTGTTAGTCAGCTTTCCACTACTGTAACAAACAACCCACTCATAAAGAAAAGCGAGGTTTACTTTAGTTCTCGGCTTTAGAGATTCCAGTCTGTGACTGACTGACCCCTTCCTTCGGGCTTGTGGTGAGGCAGTGCACACTTTGTGGAGGAGAACCACATGGTGGTGCTTTTCACAACAGGCCAGTGAGAAAAAGAGGAAGAGACCAGCTTCCCATAGTCCCCTTTAGGGCATCACCTAGGCCAGTGGCGGCAAACCCAGAAGCCACTTATTTATCACAAAGTGCCAACACTGCAATTATACCTGAATACTGAGGTTTTAGTTTAAAAAAAACAACTCATACATTAACATCTTTCATCTTAAAAAAAAAAACAAAAACACTTGCATGCCTTAAATTCACCACCACTGGCCAAACCTTCCTTCCCATTTGGTAAAGATTCACTACTGGTAAGATCGGTTAACTGGAGACCCAGCCTTAAACGTGTGGATCTTTCTGGGTCATCTGGGTCAGTGAACCATTTATAGCAGCATCTTTTTGAACTTCCACAGTTTGACTATTTAACCAGTATACACCTTCTCAAGTTTGCTTTCCAGCTGGGCGTGATGGTACACACCTGTAATCCCAACACTTGGGAGGCTGAGAGAGTAGGATCAC